TTCTCTACATTTCCACTCGTTGAATTTTGTTTAAAATATTTTGTTCAAAAGTTATTAAAAAAAATTTTTTTTATTTTATTTGCTTAACTATTGAACAAAATATTTTAAATAAAATTTAACAAATGTAATTGTAAAAAATGTTTTAAAGAACAGAATGAGCTACTATTTGTCATAATTGTTAGATCACTTTTTAGTTTGAGGTTATGTTAATAACCTCAAAGCCTCAAATTATAGTAATAATTAAGTTTACTATAAAGGTCATGTTATTCAGTGGCCACGTGCCTATTAAAACTTTATTAAAATTATTGATAGAACATTAAACTCTTTTAATCAATTTTATTATAACTTTTATAAATAATTAAATTTTTTGAAGAATTTCTTTGTTTTTTTTTAAATTGATTGAATCCTTTAGTGAAGTTTTATAAAATTTGTATTAAAAATAATTGAATGTTTTCGAAGAATGTTATTATTTATGAAAATAAAATTCATTGTCATAATTTTATATTACCTATTTATTATTTGAAATTATTTTTAATTTCAAAATACAGCAAAAATAAGGTTAGGACGGTTAGGACTTAATCAAGCGACTATATATGCGATCGTTTGCCATCTACAGGATGTACACGTACTACTGATGTACTTCCGACAAAATGTTGCGCCTTTCAGTGAAGTACATGCATATAAGATTGGTCTCCTTAAGTCTATACTCCATGGTATAGATAAAAAAAATTGAGGTTATGTTGCCTGTTATTAAAAATATTGTAAACACATTTTAATTTTGAATCTCCCAACATCTTTAAATAGTTTTCCGTACTTTATTATAAACAATATTTCTGATCTAATGATTTTATTCTTCATTTACATGAACAAAAACCATTTATATTGTTTAATTAATATTATGCAACAAATCACATTTAAAATTTTGCGCCATAAAATCTTATAGTAGTGCTGCACTCTACTGGTCAAGTTTGGCTGTGAGGATCCCCATTGGAGACAAAAATTTTTCAAGTGGCCGGTTTCACTTATTTTGGCCCTCATAGAACTTTTCTTTTTCTTAAAAAAGACATGGAGTGGAAAGGTCGAATGTATCGAAAAGTATCGAAGTAAAGAATGGGCAATGAGAATGTAAAATCTTAATAGAAGAGTGTTTTTAAAATTGTTTGTACATGTGAAGGTGGCGCTGCAGTCGTATGTTATTTAAAAAGAGCGCGAATATATAAATTTTATTTTTGTTAAGAGACAGTACTCATAATAAATCTTATTTTGCATTGTCAAAAAAAACGTCAACATTTCAAATATAAATAAGCAAATTATTAACTGAAAAAATTTGAATATAATTTTTAATGAAATAATGGACTTGGACAATGGACATATAAAAACTAGCACCGTAGACGGCCGCTTGCGGCCGTCGGAGGAGCTAGTTTGGTGAAAAATTCGATGAGTTACAGAATTTCAAAGTTTAGAGAGCCAAAACCTCATTTCGTGTAAAACGGAATTAAAGATTCTGATACCAATTGATGATGATATCTCTGGTTCTTCTGGGAAGTTATTCAGATAAGAATTGTTTCCAGTCCAGGGCACCTTTAAGATGAAAAATCAAGAGGTTTTCAATTTTTCCACAATTCCATTTTTAAAATACGGATTACTTTTGCAAATGGCCGACAAAATGGGCCCTTTTCATTTTTCTAAAGAACCAATGAAATCAAACAGTTAAATTATCGATAAATTAATGAAAACCGCATGTTTCGACTTGTCAAAACATGTAGATGGATAATAAAAAATAAAAAAAATTAAGATTTTGCTCCAAAATTACTAAATTGCGATTATCTCGAAAACTAGAACCGACAAAATGGGCTCTTTTCATGTGGACGTACACATATACTTTAAAATGCAAACAAAGTTAATAAAAAAAATTCATTCTTAAATAAAAAAGTAAAAATAAATTTTTTAAACAATTTTTTGTTTATTTACTCCTCTTTGAGAAAAATGTTATTAACATATTTGGATTCCTTATGAATTCACCTTTAATTTCATAAAAAAAAATTGATGGAGACTCTACTGGGTCCGGATGTATTGAAGTTTTTGTAAAAATTAGGCATAGTTGCAGCAGCAATGCACGACTACGGTAACGTACTACGCGACTTGTGCAGTATGGTGCTATGGCGCTGCAACGCTTTTTTTACAAAACCTTCAATATATCCGGACCCAGTTGAGTCTCCATCAATTTTTTTTGTGCAATTAAAGGTGAATTCATAAGGACTCCAAATATGTTAATAACATTTTTCTCAAAAAGGAGTAAATAAACAAAAAAATTTTTTATTTTTTATTTAAAAATTAATTTTTTTTTATTAACTTTGTTTGCATTTTAAAGTACATACTTGTACCTGAAAAATGTGTAAATTTCATCAAAATCCATGAACAATATTCCAAGATATTCAAAATTTTATAACATTTTTCAAAATGGCGTATCTTCAACAATTTTGAATTTTTTTTGAAAAATTTTGGGGGGAAGAAGTCTTTTATATTTATAGAAATACAATTCCACAAAGTTTTGGGAAAATCGGCCTACCCTTTGCAAATCGTGATATTTCTGACGTGCAATGCCTCTTCTAAATCTTTTTTATTTCTGCCTTTTTATCCAACTCTATTGGAAATAATGTTACAGTAAACTACGTGGCATTAAAAAGCTTTGCAACTTAAATTCACACCAAAAAAGATAAAAATAATCCATCTTTAGATTTTAGTTCTATTACAAAAATGTGTCTAAATCATTTCTAAACCATGATCTTAAAGTTTTGAACGTTCAAATGAACGAAATTTATTTATTTCTTCTTCAAATTAAACTTTTAATACAAAATTTTGTGTCACTATTAATCAAATTAATTATAAAGTTTCTAAATGTAAAATTTAAGTTTTTAACATTAATTGTAATCAATAAACTATGAAAATATTTTTAACAAAAAATATTTCGTTCATTTGAACGTTCAAAACTTTTTGTTCCTTCTAAACCATTTTGAATAAATAATCCTTCTATGGATTATTTCAATCTTTTGTGGATGAAAGTGTTGCATGTTGTTTTTGATAGTAATGCTATTTTTTATTCATTAGTAGTTGTCTTTGACTCTTCATGGTTAATTTTTTCTTATTAGTTTTTCTTTAGTGTCACCTCTTTTTTATTGATGTTGATTTTTTTACTTTTCATGTCTTTCTCTAACCTCCAATTTTTGATAATATAAATTTACTGATGTGAAAAGCATAATGCAGAGAAATTATGCGAAAATGATGATGTGCCATGGATGAAATTCCAATCGTGCGTCACAGCGTCAGTGGATCCTCGCCCACACTTTATCCACAAATAGCAGCGAAATAGGTTATCGTATGTCACTGGTTGAAAATGCAAGGTCTCTTCATCAGACTTAATAATTTCATTTGCTTCCCGAAATGTAATCGCAACTTTAAGCAGAGAAAGAATCCGTCGCTGAAAATCGCACAACCGTCAAACTGAATAGAGATTTAATTTTCCAAGAATGTGTAAAAACTTTTTCTAGGATTAAAATAATTTTCAATGACTGCCATTGTTTCGATATGAGTGTGTCTTTCGTTTCCTAAAGAAATTAATTTTCTTACTTTCCTGATGTCGCACATCTGTTTTTATTATAGCATAAATGTCTGGCAACGATGCCATTAGTTGTTAATTTGTTGGAATATCTCTGTAGAGTCTGCAAAGAAGAAGCATAAAAAATTGGATTTGGGCACTGAATTGTGCTGAATAAACGGTTAGAGGACCCTAATCGTTGGGCTCAAGTTTAAATGGTGTATCTTATGTTCGCTGTGCACCATAAGGCTCATGGCGTAGAGCAAGCGAGTATATTGCGATGCACCTGCACCTGCTTGGCAGTTGCCACCCCTCTTCACTCCCGATGCTATCTAGGCCTCTCTACTACTTGGCCCCTTGTCTTGCATGGGATGCCATGCCGCGTCACCTGACGCAAAACTTGGCCGACTGTGTGTGAGAATTACCATTAACCTGCCTTCTCACACGTGGGGGGAAATTATGCTTTTTTATTATGCACACACACTTTTTTGCATCCGAGCGTTCAAAATTCTACTTAAACATTGTCTAACGTAACACGTAACGTAACACAGGGAGGTGGCGAACCTTATTTGATTTTTCGTACAATCACTGGTAGTTGCAATCGGCGGTTTCCGTAGAAATAGTGTGGTTTCCGAGGGAAAAGTTACGAACCAAAACACCTGTAACTGCGTGTAAATGTGTATGATACAGCCGAGGAAAAAGCAAAGAAGAAGAAGAAGTCAAGGAACCTTATCGACAACTCGCATAGATTTACTTTTGAGATAGCAATCTAACGCAAACCATATGGTAATAAGGGACATATATTTTAACGATCCCATATATGAAATAGGCTGCTGTGAGAAGCGATGCGTTCTATTAACACGCTCACTATTCTCTCTCCTTCTTTTAATGTCAACTCAATATTATGCTTTTTAAACTGAAATACTCTTGGATTATTTTATCGCTCTCTCGGTTTATGTTCTCTTTGAATTTATATAGAAACAAGTCTCAAATAGATATTCACAGATAATTTTAATTTCATTATATACGTTTATATGAAAAATTATCGCAAATAACTTGTTTCCATCGGCGAAAATTGCAAAGCTACTTTATATATATAATATTCAAATTTTCATTTCTCGTTAAATTTATTATAATAGTTGAATTCTCATTAAATTTATTCTCGGTAAATGAAATTTTCATTTAAATTTATATTTTCAATGAATGTGAAAAATACTCATTGGGAATTAGTTTCAGTTTTACGCGATAATTACTGCAATAATTTTTTGTTATGAAAATTATTGCAATTTGGGTCATTAATTTGATTAATTAATAAATATTAGTCAGCTTTTAGAAAAGAATGCTTTCTGTTGTTCATCTACAGATGAATTGACTTTGCTAATTATGTTCTTTGTTTTATTTGCAGATATCCCAACGCAAGTGCCTCCCCTTACACCTGGAACAAACAAAAAGATGACAGAAGCCTTAAAGGCTTCATTCGCTTCTTGGGAAAAGGAACAAATTCGCCTCAACATTACCAAAGGTAAGAAATGAATAATTTTCAAAAATTATTTTACATTGGATATGTTTTGAACTCGCTCGAAAAATTAATTGACGGTACAGTTACAGTCAGTGGTAGTTAGATTTGAAAAAGCAGAGCAGAGCAAGGGGAAATAAAATTAAAATTCCTTTAGAGAAACACACTAATGCATAATAATTATCACGAGGTGAAAGTCGAAAAGTCTCAATGAATTACTTAGGGGGAGGAAACGTCGCCTTCGCGTCGCAGGATTGAACAATGACAAAACGACGACAAACAGACAAACAGCAAGCGGATAATCTGCTGGGGCAGAGTGAAGGAGGATCTCATCATTGCGTTTATTATGGAAACACATAACAAAACTGAAAGAGTGTGCGTGCAAGCGACGCGATGTGATGTTGATGGTTCTGATGGGGAGCCGATGCCACACATCCGGTATGCGCATTCAGAGCCACGCGGGTGTGACGTTACTTCCGGTCTACATGCCCTCGTCGGGTACCCTTCAGGCCAGATCACCTCGTCTGACCTCCGTGAACCTAACCGCGCGAGCCGTTACACTTCTGATCAAAAATCGAGAGAGCGACCACGAAAAGAGAAGCAAAAGTCGTCCTCTTAAAACAAGAAAAATCCCTTTCGAAGTAAATCTTACACTTGGAATAAGTCGAATAAGTTAAGTAGCTGTAGGGGAAATAGTGAGGTTGTAAATCAATCAAAAATGTTGCAAAAAATATTTTTGATAGATAGGGAAACTTTACCTTTTTTCGTGGCATGAATTGTCGCCAGAAGTTTGGTCTCAGAGAAAGTGGAAAAAAGAGTGGTTGAGCAATAACGCAAATTGGAAAACTTATTGACTGGAACATTATTATGGTTTTGGAATCGTTTGCATAAAGAATCCCCAAAAGATATTCTGTACTATTTTCGAAATATTTTTATTTCGACCTCGATGAACCTAATTATCCAAAGCGGTTCCACTTCCTTGATTCTTTTAATGCAAAAATCGCTAAACGACAATCATCAAAGTTTTCATTCATCACTGATAGCAATGTCTGTATATAAAAAGAATCGCGTTGAATCTTATTGGTAAATATTTTTTATTATGCGACCTAAAAATAGAATCGTTCACTATGATGCAATGCGATTACGAATTGTATTAATTACCATTGCTTGTAACTACCACAAATTGAAACTACCATTGTTCATAATAGTGTTGCCGCGACAAGGTGTCACGAGAGACGAGAATTCTCGACGAGAATTTTTTTAAATGGCAAAGTTTTATTCTGAAAATATAGTTACGATTAATATCTATAATTATATAAAATATGATAGATATATGTATACTAAAATCTTTTATGGTTTACGTTGCATTTAATAGATTTCTTAAACAAAATATAAGAAATTATAAATATTTTATATAAATTATATTTTTTTATACATAATACTTAGTAAATACACTCTTTTTCAACTAAAAGTTGAAATTTAATTCATTTTTCAGTGTTTTTTTAATGAGCTTTTAAAAACCAGACTCTTTTTCAACTAAAAGTTGAAATTTAATTCATTTTTCAGTGTTTTTTTAATGAGCTTTTAAAAACCAGACTAATACTTGAAAGACTACCAAGTCTCACCTTAATTGTCAAGTCATTTTTCCGTAATGTGTAAACACGTCAAATTGTTTACAATACTTCTATAAAAAAGCTGAAAAAGACGAGAGAAAACGAGAATGTGTAGCATTCTCGACACTCTAGACGAGACGAGACGAGACGATAATGTGCGGCAACACTAGTTCATAACTACAATGAACAAACAAGTAGACTGCCCTATGCAAAAAAATGCTACATCCACCCCAACAAAATAAAATTACACACATTAATTTTCTCATCAAATTAATAAGCAAAAAGAAATCATATAACCGCCAAACTCATCATCTTCTCATGTAATGAAAATGTAAAAATGATTTGTACTATTAATGATTTATGAGAATATCATTGAACGTAAATACCATCTACTGTATATATCATTGTTTTGTAGTTTTTTAATGCTTAAATTATGGGAAAAAAATTAATGTTTAAAAAATGAAATTAAATACAGAATAAGAGAACAAAGGCTTTTTCTCGATACCAAGAAATTTGGAGAAAATGAATTTATTTAAAGATTAGGAGAAAAAACTGAAATCCTATTATTTGAAAAATGGTCGATGATAATACTATGGTAAGTGTTCTACACAGATTGTATATATATATATATATATACATAAATAAAAATTTTGTACGAAAGTGACGAGTATGGCACAGAAGAAGGCGAGAGCGAGCAAAGAGTTTTTGTTAACAATGCTAACAAAGAATAAGTTGAACAAACATTGGACCGATTCTCAAACATGTGCGGTCGCTTTGATCGTGCCGTTAGAAACTGCACGTCTTCTACTCACCTTTTCTATAAGTATATTTATCGACACTGTACTGACATGTGACGCAGTTATAGTGTTTCAACATATACATACAAGGTCTGTAGTAAAGACCACGCGTACGAATTGTTCCTTTCATTTAACACCATCCATTCATAAGTTTCTTCTACAACTCCACTAAAGTTTCTCTCGTTGTTATCATCTGTTATTTTATTCTCTATCAGATTATTACAACTTTTTTTGGGAAACTACTTTGGTAGTTTTATAGTCAGTACTATTGATACTTTATGGTAGTTACAATTGCAACGATAACTGCAATGATATAGTCAAGACAAGACGCCTTGTAAATATTTCTTAAAATATGCATTTTAAAATCTTAGAAACAAAAGTTGTTGGGCTTCAAAAAATGTAAGAACTGGTGAAATATTGTCATTTCTTAATCATATTTGTAATCATGTGATAATTATATCCATAAATTTTCTCGACTAATAATTATCAAGATGCATTTATCTTGCAAAAGTCCCGCGAAAAGCAGTCATTAAGGGGATGTCAATTCGAATCAGCTGTTCCATAGAATCTTCAATGGAAAAGTGATGCCACTTTTCCATTTTGACATCCCCTTAAGAAGTTTGAGTCTCTGCAGGTGGACAGTGTATTCGACTACATAACTTATTTTTTCATAACTTTCATAACATAACTTATTTTTTGATAATTATTTGATAAAATAAACCGAAAAAAAATTTAGTTCCAAAAATTTTACCATTAATGCGAATAATGAAAATAGGGTAAAAGTGCACTAGTTCCTGCGGCATTCCAGCCAAGATATCTTTTTTATCCCACATGCACAAAAATGGCGCTTTCTGATAGCAGACGACAGGGAGGAAAGTCATTCATTTCTTCGACCGTATGAAAATGGAGGCCGTGTTCTCCCAAGGCCAAGAAAATTAGCTGTTCACATGCATTTTTCTTGCCCAAGGGAGAAAACGGCCGCCATTTTCATACAAGTCGAACAAGTGAATGACTTTCCTCCCTGTCGTCTGCTATCTGAAATCGACACTTTTGTGCATTAGGAATAAAAAATATCGTAAGTAACACGAGAATAAAGGCATTCAATTTCTTTACGATGATTTTTGTGACACTTGTTCCGGTCTCGGGGCGCTCTCGACCTTCACTCGTGTCACAAAAATCACCGTAAATAAATGGCTGCCTTTACGTACCTTGTTGCTTAATATACTATTGCATAAAAAATATTATAGCAAATATATTTATAGCAAAGGAAATAAATTTAAAATTTATTAAACTAATTGTTTGTATTCTTAAGAAATCTTTACAAACATTAATTGCCAATAAAATTGTAGCATTTGATTAAATTTAAATAATTAAAAAAATATCAAAAGCGTCTAATTCTGCGAGCTGTGTAAATTACTGCGCGTCAGTTTCTGCGGCAAAAATAACATGTATTTAGATATCATTTTGCCCGCAGCAACTGAAGCACATGCATTTCACATGTATGTTTCAGTTTCTGTGGCAAGCAGAATTTAAAGTTAAATAATTAAAGTAATTTTATTTTAAATATATATCTTTATAGACAATTGTATCAAGTATTGTTCAAAATAATTTTTTTAACGTTTTTTAAACATTAATATTTTCTTAAGTGATAAATAATTACACATTTCACGAACGCGCAGCAATTGAGGCCTTGGATCCAATAACTCGCCCGACGCTCGGAGGAACGCGCAACTGCCAGTCAGTGAGCAGTGAGCGCCTCTGGGCCATTCACTGCTACCCGACTGGTATTAGCGCGTGTCTTCGAGCGTCGGGCGAGTTATTGGATTCAAGGCCTCAATTGAAACATCCGCAGCAATTGATGTACTTACCCTATGGGAGCGTTCACAAATGATGTCACGCCTTTGGGGGTAGGGGGGGCGGTCTTACTCAACGTGACTCAATGTATTTTTCCCATGTGAAATTGCAAAAGTTGCGTGACAGGGGGAGGGGGGGGGGTTGAAAATCTCCAAAAATTGCGTGACATCGCATGTTGGTACTAGTGTTGCCGCGATACGAGACGAGGCGATAATTTCAACTGTCTCGTCTTGTCTCGTTATTGTAGGTCAAATTATCGTCTCGTCTCGTCTCGTGTTTCGAAAATATTACACATTATCGTCTCGTCTCGTCTAGAGTGTCGAGAATGCTACACATTCTCGTTTTCTCTCGTCTTTTTCAGCTTTTTTATAGAAGTATTGTAAAAAATTTGACGTGTTTACACATTACGGAAAAATGACTTGACGATTAAGGTGAGACTTGGTAGTCTTTCAAGTATTAGTCTGGTTTTTAAAAGCTCATTAAAAAAACACTAAAAAATGAATTAAATTTCAACTTTTAGTTGAAAAAGAGTGTATTTACTAAGTATTATGTATAAAAAAATATAATTTATATAAAATATTTATAATTTCTTATAAACACCTCTCTCGTCTTGTATCGTTTTAGCGATAATTAAAAAAATACTGTCTCGTCTCGAGTCAAAGTTCTCTTGTCTCGTCTCGCCTCTCGCCATTATCTCGGCAACACTAGTTGGTATACTTATCGAGGCGGTAATCAATGATTGGTCTCCTAACCGACGAAAATCGGGGA